TAAAAAAACGCATTGAGGCATGGCGAAGCTTTTCCGGCATATCGATGCCGGTGAGGTAGCACTCAAAGAATAGTAAAACTGCTGCTCCACAGCTTGAGAAGTCCGGCTGGCGTACATTCGTGACTCTCTGAATCGGTAAGAGGATGGAGCTGTCTTCACCTTCTAAAAACACGTCTTTAAGCAGTTCTTCGCATTTGGCGTAATATTTTGACTTGGGGTCTTGCAAGGGGTCGAACACCAGGACTCCTCGACGTTCGCTGCGATAATCGAAAATTGCTCCACACCAGTGGTTGTTGTCTATGTGTAGCGGCAACAGAATGATCTGGTTCGTTTTCTTCAAAGGCTTGCCTGCATTAATAGCCCTGAGCCGGGCGTCTTTATCGTGGAAACGATTGAAGATCGGGTTAACGACGCCAACATCCGGGTGTTCTCGTTGGAGTAGAGCAATCCGATGCCCCATGCATGCACATATTTTCTCGAAGCGTTAATAGTCCGTTATATGGAACACTACCGAACGAAGTCTCGCGGCCACCCCTCAGAAGAATCCGCCTGATAATAACTTCCCGTTCTGCCGGATCACTGCTGACTCCATCATTGATCTTTACCGGTACAGACAAGCGCTTGACGCTAGTAGTGACGGCCCAAGTAATCGCATCTTCAGTGGCAGATAAATACTGCATGGAGGCGTGCCATCGGTCCATCGCGACAATGTCCTGGTATTGGAATATCCCAAAGCGAGGAACTCTTACACCAATAGTGTTGTCATCGACAGTTTCAACCAAGCCTTTAGCTAGAGGTGCGCTCTGTTGAGTCGGAGGTTCGTCATCGTCCGAGGTCGCTGTGGAAGTTTTCTTGATTTTTTCTTCATCGTCAGTATCGCTTTTCATCACAGCATCCCTTGGTTCAACAGCATTGGTATTTAACGTAGGCGAATATGCCAGCGACGATAGCTGTGAAAGCGGGCCTACCCATTCACCTTCTCGACCAACAAATGATGCAACACCGTCCTTGATAATGGCTTCGAATTTCTCCAAGGCGTTCATCATTTCTCCAAATACAAACGTTCCTTTCCTGCTCATAATGTCTGCAATACCCTTTCCACACTCGAGAGCGTGCTTGTACTTCGTCGTCCCATTTAAAACGTGATGGCGCCTTGCTGGCACTGCAGAGTCACGGACTTGGAAGGTTGTGCACGCAGCGGTTTTGTCTGGTACGTCTTCTTCTGGCGCAGGTTGATTCAGCTTGCACGACGATCTCCAACGGGGTGCAATGTACCGAATAGGAATTGCCTGATCTCCACGTAAAAGGCGCCAATGCATGACGTGCCGGCATGGAAGCAACATCGTCTTCATGAATACGCATGAGCAGTGATATTTCTAAAGGCACGCAATAACAGCGACGTACGTTAGGGTTTGCACGGACCAGAGCGGGTGATAACCTTACCGTAGTGTCGACATGATAGGATGTACTGGTGTCGCCACCTCCGGTCAGAACAAACAGGCTGGAATGTATTTCCGCCACGCCGTAACTTGTGTTGCGATCCTTAGAGGCCCAATGCTGCTCTTCAACAAGCCGGTACGCATACGGGCTGACTTCGCGCGCTAGCTGTTCAAGCTCGTGATCTGCGCCGTCATAGCGCATCTGGCCCACGTCTGTAATTTTCTTTCCGTACGCCATCTCTGCTACTGCTTGCAAGAGCATCAACGTGTCTACGCACTCATCCAGCGCCATCTCCGGCTTCAGAACCTCTTTGATATGACCCCATGATGTTTCAAGCCTACAGACCACCAAACCACCAGCCAACAACACAGTTAAAGGTGAGTCTAGAACCTATAGCGCAAAAAAATGTACCTATTTTTGGTGTGGTTGCCTAGATGTGGAACATCCGAGCGTGCGTACAGCGCCCATCGTTCTTTCATCGAATCCCAGTTCTTCATGAAGTACTTCAAAACTAGATGCGTAGGCACAGGTACTGGGTCTTCACGTTTAAGATGAACACCTTCCAGCAAGAAGTATAGATACTTCAGATACTTAATGTACTCATCCGTAGCAACCGCCAGCCGCATCATATCAATAGCATCTTCAACTTGGTCTTTGTCGAATCTGGACGGGCCTCCATACTCGCACTTTGCAAGCTCGGTCCGAATATACTTCTTCAAATGGAAGTGACACAGAATCACTTTCACGCCAGGGAACTCCATTTCTAGTAATCCAATTCACCCATGACCTTGTCAATTACAATTACCCTGACTTGCTCCCACGAAGAATTGTTAAACTTGAACGACCCGATAGCATCTGAAAGACACTCTGCACTTTCGTTCTCCATGAGAATGTGGTGTACGTATTGACCCTAGGATTACGTTAACAATCATAAGTAAGCATTTGTACATATCAAGTACATCTTGCAGCTGAAGCTACGCAAACAGTAAAAGTGTAGCTAGAGGCACATCAGGATGTAACGTCAGGTACATTTACTTACATGTCCGTACACATCGTTTACCATGAACGAGAAGAGCTTGTAGCACGATTTGCTGGTGTTATGCGTCGCGTCAATGAGCATCACTTCAGGAAAAGCCTTGACCCAGCGACGCATTTTTCTTGTCTGCAACGCGATGGTCGGTGTAGTTTTGGATTCGTCGACGTAAACGGTTGCTCGGTTTCCACGACATTCGCAAATCCCTCGCAAGACAGTCTCCAGCCGTTCTTCAGTAGTCGCCACCCCCCTTCGTCTCTCCTTCATCTTCGCCACCATGTTGTGTACGTCTCGAAGCACCACATTTATTCCTATATGGAGTCCAAAACAAGAAAGATACCCGTCACTATATATAATTCAGGTTTGAGTTTAGCGCACCCACCTGTCTTCTTTCGCGGGAACTGCATAATTAGCTTCGGCTTAGAGCCAGCAGCTTGGATTTCATCCACGAATGCCAGTATGTCCGGGTCCCCCACGCGACGGTTCGACACATGGCTCTCAAATGTAGCGCATGACACATTATGCTTGTGTCTTGACGTCAAAGTCAGTGACGCGTACCATGAACGTGTCGTGTTCATCGTTCCACACGACAGCAGCCTTAATTTTTGCCTTACACCCTGTAGTCTTCTCGAAAAACGACCTTCGTATCCCCTTTCCACGGCTCTTGCGCTTCCACCCAAGAGTGCAGACCAACTTAATCCAGAAATTGCCGAAATCCTCAGGGATCAATCGATCCGACGTCTCATCAGTAACTGTGTTAGTCGTGCCGGAATCATCTGGGTCCTTCGCATTAACACTTAGGCTTACTCGCGCCTTAATTTCTCGATTTCGCTTTTGAACCGACGTGGACGTGCGCTGTGGAAAGATCTGGTGTGTCTTCTCTTGGTAACGCTCCATGTATTTGCGGAAGACATCCCAGCTCTCATGCTACTCGACATCAACTGGGGGACAGAGCCACGAGACCCCACGAGGGACTTGCCGCTCGGGTTCACTGTCGCTCATTCGGATTGCACACATGAGTACCACATAATACGCTGTTAGCTTACCCCCCCCTTCTAATATACATGAACATGCATGCTTACCTTCGGAGATGTCGCGTGTCTTCGTCTTGTATTAGAGTTTGGGAGGGGCGCGTGGCTGATGTAGTGCGCGGGAATTTTTTGGAATGAAAGGCTCATAGATTTTGGGGATGGGAGTAAGGGGGGAGAGGGGGTGTCTTTTTCAGAAATCTTGTTTTTCAGAACTGAGTTGAAATTTACCTCAGACAGTATTTTATCGTCGAAATTCCGAAGGTACTACTGTAATGTTTCGTTTAAGTACTATTTTGCTCACCAGTTCCTATTAATAATGGTAATTCCATAATCGGTTAAGTTAATATACTGTATCACCTGGTAGACCAGCTAATATCAAAATAGTATTACCGAGTTGAGACAAAATGATAATATTAAAAAAATCAATTTAATATTAGCTATTCCAATACCTCTGAAAAAGCATTACTTACACTTCAAATACCCCTTGATATTAGATTACTGAAATTGGAGGAATGTGTGAGCGCCACTTAACCAGCGCTGAATAGAAATGACTATACCAAACGTTTTTTTAGTTGTCGCCCGACTAAAAGCTATTTAAATTGGGTCCGACAAAAGCTAGACAATAATAGTCGATGGCTATTTGTATTGCGGTCAAATATTGCCGCAGGATAGCCTTCGACAAAAACCACACAAGGGGTTGCGCTGTGCAATTCCGACCAATATCTGTCCGCTCCCAGTCTGAGCGTGACATTTGCCAACCAAACCAGAATGAAAGGAAATTTACGAGTTTATTAGATGCTTGAGCTGGCCGAAACCGCATACGTTTTAGAAATGATGATAGAAATAATCAAATTATGTATTCAGTAGGTAGGCTGGGGAGCTTCAAGACACCTTGCTCTTACACGGCCCAAGTTAGAGGTCGACCTGTATAGTTTTGGCTTGACTAGTGCGAAACAGAGTGCAGACAAAAATCGGTTTCGCGATTGTCCACCGCAATTTCGATCGTTTTGTCCGACAAAGTTTGACTTTAAATTTGTAAGTAGATTTCGGATTCAAAATCTGTCGTATGTATGTTATAACAACCAATGCACTGCAATCGGTGACTAAAGGTTTCCCATACGGCATACTTAACTCAAGTGAAATCAGCATCTTTGTCGGACATAATGATCGCTTTAAAATATTAGTGGGAAGATCTATGAAGCTGCTATTACTTTTTGTAATACCACGACACCAGACCAGCTCATGCGTGGATAGAACGAAGACTACACTGTAGACTTTTTAATTTTAGTCCTATTTGCTCGGTTTTCGGGACAGTACCGGTATCCAAGAGAGTGCAGCAAACATGTTGCCCTTTTATTTGTCCTACGGACGTCTCAGTCGCCGACTGAGGTCCGTGTAACATATGCAAAACAGCTACTAACACGCAAACCAGGCTGAATTTTTCGACTTGCACCCATTGAAAAAGGCATTGTTAAGACTACGACGCTGCCAAAAAGTTACAGGACGTCGTTGTTAGCCGTCTTCTTTGAGCTGCACGCGCCTTCCTCCTCCACGATGTTCTGCTCTGGGTTCTTACAGGCAGCGATCTTGAGCTCGCACGGGTTCGAGTACCAGACACCGTCGGAGCCGCAAACGCGCAAAACGACGTCGGGGCAGGCGCTCGCACATTTCTTGCTAGCCTTCTCAGAGTCCTCATCACGGGGGGCGCCAAACTCCTTGCCGTAGATTCGCTTGTATTCGTCCAAGGGATTTTCTCTCGGACCCTTGCACTTTGCGGCCTCCATAGAGCACTTGTTAGGGTACATCACACCATTCTCGTCACTCACGGGTTGGTACACGGCAGGGCACATGATGTTGGGACAGTACGACTTCGGGGTCTCTTCAGCAGAGCCTTCTTCAGATGCTGGCTTCGACTTAGACCCGGTGAGTAAATCCTTTGTCATGGTCGGGCTTTCAGCATGGGCGGTGTTGATGGCGATGGCCATGAGGACGAGGCAGGCGGCAAACTTCATCTCAATGGCTTAAGTACCCAGTTGTCTGTCTACGCGCGAAATGAGAAATGATTAAAACATGACTGCCTCGAGCCAGGCTGTCAATCGTTTCCGTCCCCCCAGTAGCGCGACGCAAGCTCCGCCGGGCAGCGAAAAACGTTGTTCATCCCATCTGGGATTATTTTTCGTTGCTCGGGATTCATACGGTATTCAATTACAATACCGTTTAGTATTGTATTGGGACTTGATGCTTTGAAGACTGACCTATTATCCGGATATAGTCGGTTTCGCTCGTCAGTACGAAGGAAGAGCCATCAGATCATTATTAATAGCTGTGGTGGGAAAGACAGGCACAATCCTACATAAACTTCTTGGCTGTGGTGTAATGGTAAGAAAAAATGTCGATGAAATCGTATGATATTTCCCACTTAAGTACGTTTCTTGCCACCTTAGGGCTCACCAAAGAACTATTTCGGTCAGGTTTTAAAACAGCAGCAAAACTGACGAGTACTTTATCTAGTATTTCACTGTCACAGACAAAGCCGGAATACCGCAAACGGATTAAAGTCGATACAGCGAAATCGTGGTATTCGTTCTTGTTCTCTGCCGATAGCTTCGTTCATATCGTGCCTCTCGTAAACCTGCAGCCTGTGACGCTAGATTAACAGAAGTCGAAAGTTGGCACGATTGGTGCGGTGTGTTGGCAGTGCCAACACTCCACACCAACCTTTTTGAATTAGAGCAAGACTGGTCGATGTGAAATGGTATTTAAGTCTGCCAATTCGGCCACGTACTCGCTCATTAAAAAAAGGAATATTAATAATTCTGCTCTAGTTCACATATATCCTTAGCTTTTTTTTAACCAATCAACAATCAGCTACAAAATACTAGTTTCTGATTGGTAGCTCTTAACTGTCCGTAAATGGTGAACGTCCGTTCGCACATAAGTTTTATGGTAGGTCAATCAATGCGATTATTGTATGTTGCAAACTGCTCGTAATATATATTTAGTGCTCCACTCCTCCTCTCTACTTAAATCCCAGCAGCATTAACCCCTTGGTTCCCGGCGAAGTGTATCGAAAACGAGATAAATAATGTCGTAACTTACGACATGTCCATGTCACTACTTGTTTGTATGTGGCATATGTTCGACGTGCGTATAGGTGTATAAGTATTTGACAGGTTGCTCTCTCAGAAGTCGTAAGTTATACTACTTAGTAGCTAGCAGAAAACACTGTATGTCGTAAGCTGTCCCACATTAGAAAGTACAGCGGGAAGATCTGCTGCATATCGGGGAAAATTGGTGCACAGAGCTGTTTTATGAATCCAGATCAGTAGAATAGACAGAACAAAAAGTACAGATGCTCAAGGAAATGTGTATTACGACATGACAAGCGCCCACACTCTTTTGATGTCACGCTGGCAAGCCTACTCTTGTTCACTCTCATGTTCATCACCGCCGTCTTCCTCATCTTCACGAAGTCGCAACTCTCGACGGGTCTTTTTGTGGACACCTGCCTTCTTCCCCGGGCGTCGCAAGACAGCTCTCTTTCCCAGTGTTGCAGGAATGTTTTGGCCGCAGTCGAAGTCGTCGTACCAGATCTCAAAGCACGTTTTAGCTACACCCTTGTACTGACGTCGTATCTTGCTGCACAGCCAGCACTTTGCATCGTCAGTAGAACAGCGTTCGCAAAAGTAAGTTGTAGCAAACGACTTCTCCTTTCGATCCGTGCGCAACAGGGCACACACCTTTCAAGATCGCTGGCGACGCTTCTGAATGCCCGTAACGGTCACCCAGTCGTCGGCCTTTTCGACAGCATGTGTCAGACGTAGTTGGGGGCGCTTCCGCTTCTGGCTGCTAGGTGTCGGTGTTGCAACAATACCAGCGAAGTCCTCCACTTTCAGCTGCAGTAATTGGATTTGCAGGACTCCGAATCATTCTCCTCACTTCATCACCGGCGTTCCAGCGATACGTGCAGCCTCTTTGTGCGAAACAAACGCATTTACAAGTGCCAAATCCACGAAGCCTAAGAAAAGGCTTTTGTAGTATTTCTTGAACTTCGTAGACTTCTGCAAAGAGTACTTTTGTAGGCGGAGTTGATCATGGACATCAACTCCGCCCATCCAACGTTGATAGCCGGTTACAGCCGCTGGGCAGGGCACGGTAATTGTACCAACGCGCTTGACGTTTCGTGTAATAGTCGTCTCTGTCATTGCCGAGACTGTGCACAGGTAATGCACAGGTTTCCGGTCCCACCAGTGAAATGCAACCATATTTGGAATGGCGACAGAACGAGAGAACGTGAACATGCCTCGGGGAGCGCTTGCTGGACGTGACTTGCGTTTCTCGTTGACATTTGCATCATATCCAAGCCGGTTGGTCATTATCGTGCCTATCACGTACACCTGCATGCCCAGTAGCTCGAGAGCAAGTAAAATTGACGAATAGAAGCGGTCGATAACTACTGCGTGCCATGGGAGCCGGGTGTTGGGGCCAAGCACTGTCTTCAAATTTCTAACGACTGCAGCCGCACCGGTCTTATGGTCAAATGTTGAATGCTCTCCATCTCTTCTTTCGCCCGCATACAGCTAAAATCTAGTAGCATACGACATAATTAGTGAGAAACCAATCTAATGTCATAACTTACGACGTACAGTGCGCGTCGTAATTATAGCCGCACCTGAAAAGTAGAGCTCTTGCGCCAGAAACTGAGAGCTGCCTGCAATCGAAGGGCTCGGAGGCCGTCTTAAAGGGATAGAAGACTTGTGCAGCAAGCGAGGTTGAAAACGACTAAGTCGGCTTGGAGCCAGGAGGCAAAATCTGGTTTGAGGTCGGGTCAGAATTATAGCCGCACTTGGCAATTTAAAATTCAGTAAAGTAATAAACAAAAATGATTGACTTTCAAATGAAATAAATGAGACCTGTGGACAGCCGTGTGAAAGACCTTTTAGAAGCACTACAGAGGCGGAAAAAGCAACCGAGAGATCGGCAGGCTCTTAGGACGCGACGAGAAGGCAATAAGGAACTACTTGAAGCGCGGGAAGGCGTCCTCGCTGACGAAGAGGACAGGAAGAAAGCCGAAAATAGTTGGCCGGGAGGCCAGGCGCGTCGTTCGACTGGCAATTGTTCGGAACCTGTCCGCCCAAGAGATCGTAGGACTGCTCCCATCGACACCAAGCAAGTATACGGTACTTCGCGTACTACGTAGCGACCGCTACGTCACGTACGCGAAGAGAAGACTTACCCCTGCCATCAAGCCGCATCATAAGAAGGCTAGGGTAGCATTTGCGGAGCGTTACGCCGGTAAAAGGGTCTTTTGGAGACGCGTGCTGTTCACGGATGAGAAGTAGTTCAACCTAGATGGCCCTGATGGGTTTAGATTCTACTGGCACGACTTGCGAGCAGCGCCCAAACTCATGTCGAAGCGGGTCAATGGTGGAGGAAGCGTCATGATCTGGGCGGGGGTGAGCTGGCATGGCAACACCGAGCTAGTCCTCCTCAAGGGAAAGCAGAACTCTGTCAAGTACACCGAGACGCTGACCTCCGGCAGGCTTCCATGCCTAAGAGAACTGAGGTCAAAGTTGGGCAATTTGCCCCCATTTTCCAACATGATAACGCGTCCATACATGCCTCGAGGCTCACCAAGGGCTTCCTAGCCACCCATAACATCGAACTAATGGCGTGGCTTGCCAAAAGCCCCGATTTGAACATCATAGAGAACGTGTGGGGGCTTCTAGCTCGCCGGGTGTACGCCAACGGACGCCAATTTGACAAGCATGCCGACTTGATCAGACAGATCAAGTTAGAGTGGTCTCGCATTGATCCTGAGTATGTTAAGAAGCTAGTGCGAAGCGTCCCAAAGCGGCTGGAAGCGACGCGGCTGTTAAAAGGAGCTAAGACGGGTTACTAGAGCCGTTTGCATGTAGAGCCTGCAAGTGCGGCTATAATTCTGACCCGACCTCAAACCAGATTTTGCCTCCTGGCTCCAAGCCGACTTAGTCGTTTTCAACCTCGCTTGCTGCACAAGTCTTCTATCCCTTTAAGACGGCCTCCGAGCCCTTCGATTGCAGGCAGCTCTCAGTTTCTGGCGCAAGAGCTCTATTTTTCAGGTGCGGCTATAATTACGACGCGCACTGTAAGTAGAAAAAAAACCTGTGACAGTACGCGGTCCTTGAATCACACACCATAAACATTTTCGAGCTATACCGATGAGGCTTATCGGGCATGAACATTCTAGTCGTGTTTCGTTTAGAAGTAGAAGGCAGAACACCCTCGTCAAAAGCGAACACTGCCGGGAGGGTCCACGCAATCAAGAAACGACTCTGCATTGTCTCGACTACCATTCGCAACTTCTAGAGCCTGTCTCGCGTACGCTACGCCTCCTCGTTGTCCACAAAGTGCAAGTCGCGCAACATGCCTTGACATCGATTACGGCCCATGAACCTTCCAAAATTACCTGCAGGAACGGCCCCGTCCTCCACCATCGACCAGTGAGCGACAAAACGTCGCTTTTGCGGGCAGAGCATGCGCGCAAATAGGAGACCTATCACGTGTAAGATCTCGTGCGTCTCGTATCCCGGCTTCCCCTTCAAACGCCGACTAATCTGCTTAACCGTCTCCTTTCTCCGATCGTGTTGCTTTGCATGAATTCTTTCTGCACGTCTGGTGACTTGCTGAAGACCATACCGATTCGTCTCTGCAGCTATCTTGACCCATAGCGACTTGGGCATAAAGTAAGAGAATGTAAGTAGTGAAGAGTGGCAAACGTTTAGCAGCTCAGCGACCGGTCGTGCCTCTTCCATATTCAGACCAGAGTACGCTTCGACACCCTCCTCAAGCTCGTGATTGACTGGAAACCACTCCATTGGACGTAACGCGTCCTCACGTTGCTGCTTGGCTTGACTATTGAGGGCATCGCTGCCTACTTGAAGTGATTTAATGAACGCTGCGTCCATTGGCACAGCGTCATCTTCTGACAGCTCATCCAATTCTTCAGGTACTTCACAATCATTGCCATCAT